GCCCTCCTTAGCTGTGCAGGGAAACGAGCAGGACCGGGGCCGGACACACTTCGGGGCGATGGAAGACAAAGTCTTTCCCCGACGTGCTGGACGCGCCGGTGGGAGCTGTTTCCACAAGTCTTCCCCCATCCCACCAGGAAACCACGTCCACCCACTGACCGCTCGCCCTCAGCTTTGCATCAGGGTACAAAGTGCTTCCTCGAGCCTCCCCGTCCCGCTGATAGCGCCGACAATCGCCCTTACACCCAGCCCTGGCAAACGCTTCAGAGGTGGGGAGGAAAATCTCCAGCCGCGGGCTGTGCGCTCAGGAGAGCAGCCCAGGCTTCGTGGGAATAAAAGACTCACAGCTCCAGAGAGCGTCCGAGTTTCAAGTCAAGGGTTTTGCACAGTGCTACCACTTGACTCTGCATCATCTCGGCTCTCGTCTGAGGCACAGAGGGCTGATGGTTAAGAATAACTCATGGCACCGGGGTACAGGTCTGCAAATCTGAGTCAAGGCTGGATGTGCAGAGCAAACCCGGCCGGGATTCCCACTGCCCGACGCGTGACGGAGAGCCCCCACCCCGCGCCGGCACCTTCCCGGTGCTGAGCACACGACCTTGAGGTCAGGGCTGGATCAGCTCCGGACCTCAGTGCCCACTCAGCTCCTCCGCCGGCATCTCGCTTCGGCTGTGCCGCACCACGTGCGGTCCCAGCCCGCGCACCCCGCGTCCTGCCCGCCCTCCCCGGCAACGCAGCTCGGACCCGGGGCGTCTCTCACGGCCGCTTCCACCACGAGACAGGAGACGCGACCACGTGAAAGCACACCCCAGCATCCTCACCCTCGGGGGGCCGGGGACAGCGGGTCCCGGGGGTGGCATGGCCCAGACACCACAGTGGCATAAAAACAACAAAACAAGAAAATAAAGTTTCTGGAGGCGTCCAAATCCCCTCTTTGCTGTTTCAGTTTTTCAAATAACTTTGCTCCTTTATTCTCACAGGCACTGTATGCTAAAAACACACTGCATTCCCAGCAAAAATATTCCCCACCAAAGCAAAATATGTGGACTTTACAAAAGAGGAGGTTTTGAAAGACCCGGCTTTTAAAACGTCTCCTTTGTGGAGAATTTGGAACCTTTCAGGCTCTACTCCCGTGAAGAAGGAATCTAAACCC